TGATCTCCAAAAGGTTCTTGAAAGCACTCAGGGCGGTCATGGATCTTCATCGAGGAGAGATGATGTTGAACAACGCGCAAATCACCATTCCTCTCCTCGAGCAACGGGATGGAAGTTACCAGATCAACCTGGTGGATATGGAAAGGCCACCCAAGGTGAAGGATCAGGAAGTGGAAGTCCTCCAGGCAGGAGAGTAGCCGATCATAGAGGATGAAGATGAAGAAGAACCATATGAGCTGGATCCAAATTGGTCACCTGCGACAGGGGACCAGCCCGATGGAGAGATGGAAGAGGAGGACGGTGCCAACAGCATCATGATGGAGAACACCGAGACGGACCCGGACATCATGAATGTGGAAATGGATGGAGCGGATGTCATCATGTCCCGCCAAGTCTTGTAGTCTCAGAGCAGGCTCTCTCCATGCTGATTCAAAGAGAAACAGGCGACCCTTCCGCATACGGTCCTTCGCGATGCGGGCGCAACCAGGCCACCAGGCTACCGTCGCCGTGGCTTCCACGATCAACATGTTGAACAGAGCCAAATCCTGTCGTTGCCATATGGCTGAAGATTCGATAGCGGACCACATCATGGTGGGCTCGTGATCACAATGTCAGTGTCTTCCTCCTCCAGACATTTCCATGCAGCGGCTCGATCTACCACCCGCCTCCAGCCCCATCCCATGAACAGATCGAAGGCCTTGGGGTCACGGACGCCGAACATCTGCGCCTTCTCTCCAAAGCGCCCTGGGCAGAAGATCTCCACACACGACGGCCATGCGTGCTGATGAGCCACTAGCACTTCCGTCATCCCAGCTTGTATCGATCTTTTTGCTCACGGGATCCAAGCACATGGGTTCCGATCTCTTCCCCTTCCGACAGTTCAGCTTCTGGTTCCTCTGCCAGTTGACTCCCAGTTCGGTTGTCCACGGCAAGCTCTTTGGCAAGAAGTGGGGGTTCCTCACAAATGCCCTAAGGACAGTGGCCATGCTGGATCGCCTTCACTGCACTCAAGATCACGAGCACCAAGTAGTCGAAGGCCAGTCCAGAGGACTGTTAAGGTCTATTCAGACTCAGGTGTGTCCCAAGAAACTCATCCAGGCGGAACAGCATGTAATGAGAAGTTTGAGAGTCTTTGCTGCCCAATCAGTCAAGCAGACATCCAGGAAGAGAGTCCAGAGTTGAGTAAGACGTCCAAAGACAAGATCCACAATGCAGTCAGGAGGATAGAAAGATGCACGGAGTAGAGGACACGACAAGGATTTTGAGACATCATGGAGCTCGTCCGGAGATTTTGGAGATCGTTAAGGGCTTCCAGTGTGACCTGTCTGACGCACGGAAGCTACCGAAAGCGGTAAAGGACAGCGCAGTCCCAAGAGACCTGGCACCTCTCCGGTACGTCGGTTTGGATGTGAAATGGTTACCAACTTGGAAGAAGGACATGCAAATCAAACCACTCAACATTGTTTGTCGTGCCTCGGGGTTTCAGCAGATGCTCCATGTTCGAGAGACGGAGTGCCGGATGTGGACTCGAGCTTTCGGAAGACCTCGGTATGTCAAGTTCGATGCTAGCAGGTCCAATCTTGGGCAACCGTTTTTGGATGTGCTGGAACGGGGCGGCGCGACCCCTTTGGACATCCCGGGTGAGGCTCATGAACAACTTGGGGATGTTGAGGTCCAAGGGAGACACTTTGCAGCCATGTTGGCCAAAGTCATCGGAAGATTACAAACAGCGGTTGGAATGTGTTGACTGTGTTGCCGAGTCCATGAATCAATTCATGCGACGAGGGGGTTGCAGGCCAAATTAGATGGTCTTTGGGCGGGATCCTGAATACCCGGGGATGATAGATGCCGACCCGAACCCCAGTTAGCAACACTAGAGGACACAATTATTGCATCATTCTCTTTTCGGAGGAGGCAGAAGGCTAGAGAAGCGGTTCTCCAATCCCTTGATCATCGAGCAGCTCGGATAGCTCTGAATGCAAGACCGCGACCAAGGAGACAAAGTAGCGGTATGTCTGAAGGGGCCTCCAACAAATCCACAAGTTAGCTCGGGCACGCCCATTTGCCCTCCCGCCCGTCCAGCTAGGATTCTCCCTGCCAGACGCCAGTGGTTCTGAAAGTGGGGAGGCAAGAGCGCAAACCGAAGAAGGTTCGCGCCCCCCACTCCCTTTCAAGCACAACTGCAAGTGATTGCACATTGTTTCCAAGCGACAATCGAATTGAATCAACATCATTCCAAGACATCTTGTCACAAACACGTTTCGTTTAAACAAGTTCTTTGTCAACTACGTCGGCTGCATTGAGTATTTCATCTTCACAATTCATAATCACCAAAGAAAACTCAAGTGACGCTGACACGCACGCAGCTCCAAACACCGTTTCACTGAAACTTGCATCAGCGAAGGGAAACAAGACCTCTGGGAGCAGCGTTCAACAACCTGTCTTTTACTTTTTCCCCAAACAGTTTACTGTTGGGGTTTTATCTTAGAAAAAAAGAGCTGGCCACACGCACTGGCCGCGCCCCTGAACTCTGTGGCCCTGAACTCTTTGGCCGCGCCCCTGAACTCTGTGGCTGGTCTCTGTGGAGTGTGGCCGAACAAATAGCGATGTCAATCCCAACAACAATTCACTGATGAAGCAGTTTGCTCTTGGGGTGAAGGTAGGGCGTACCAAGAAATCAATTTTTGATTGATATTGGTCTAAGCGAATCAATCGTTTTGAAACTGTTTGGGGTCTATCCTTGTATAATTAAAGAGATTGGTCACCCTGTCACCGATGCCGCCCCTGCGGCAAGTGAAGCGCCTCTTTCACCTGCTCAGGCACCAAGTCACATCGCCATGTCGAAACTCTGTCGACCTCGAAGGTGCTTGGGCCTATATGGCCAATCATGAAAAGGGTTCGAGTCATGAGAAATGGAATTCACATTCCTTCAAAATTCCTTTATGACTCGAGCCGCCTGAGCTTCACGGGAGCGTGAATAGCCCTTACTGCCAAAAGGTTTCGGTTTTTGCGCATGGTTTTTTTGAGAGGAGCCGTAGGGACCAACCAACCTTCGGCTTCATGCTCAGTGGCCATGTCAAAACGTTCAACCAATCCACTTAGCTCTATAACCAACTCAGGCTCGGCTCCGAATTCCCTGCGAATGACTTGCAAGTATTTGTTTTGCAGGCTGGGTACGGGTAAAATTTCCTAGCCCCCTCATGACATAGCTCAGCCACCGCAGCCTTGAACTCTTCATCTTGCGGGGCCAAAGCCTGAGTCAAAGTAATCGGTGACTTCTCCTCGTCATCCTTTTTGTCCATCTCATTGTCGATGTGCTGGGAGGTCGCTCCTTCCAGCAAAATGGACCTGAACACTTCAGACCATTCCCCTGTGCCTTCCATCATTGGGTAGATCTCATTCTTCTGAAGCATGCCCTGGAACTTCTCCATGACCTCCTTGAAGGTATCCTCGATGGTGTCCAGGAACGCCGCTCCAGCGTGAATCCAGCAACTATTCCGGAGCCTCTCCACCTTGCTAAGCTTTCGACGCCTCGTGCAGGCCATTCTCCCCAGTAAACCGCACGTGGGCCACCGCATTTGGAACGTCCCGCAGCAGGGCCACCGCTCCCAGGCGCTTGTTGTCCTCCATGCGAATCCTTCCGATTTTTCTTGGCCCGCCCTCCACCCACGCAGCAGTTTCTTGCGCAGTTTCAATTGCTCCAGCGCTACGTTGCTGTCTGTGAACGCGTTTGATTTGCCTTGATCACCTGGATGAGCTCCATGATGATGTGGGTACTTTTGACTGGGGCACACCTGGCCTAACCGACTTTTGAGTGCCAGACAAACTTGTGTTGGATTAGACAGGGGTCTCACCCAGCGTATCTATGCTATTTCAATTCATTTGGAGCGTGCTGTCATGGAGTACGACCGATGGTGTGGATATTGATTCCTTGTACCAATATTCTTGCACCCACCCTACAATTCAGAGGGGAACGCAGACTGAAGTCTTGGATTTGCCAGCGGGGAGCGGGGTGCAGACTGAAGCCCTGGACTTCCCCAATGTGTGAAAACAAGAGAGCTGCGTGGGTGTCAACATCTTTTGAGTCTTCAATGATGAATGCGTGCGAGAATTGAATTTTGAAGATGAAAAACGCCTTTTTTGCAGATAGCCTATGCGTAATGGGGGTACTGGTTGTCGACTGATGGAAAACATTGGTGTGTGGAGGTGTTCGGCAGTGTTCGCGCACTAGCCATCCGCCGACATGTTTGTTGTGGTTTCATGTGTGCTTTGTGTGAAGAAAGGTTTCGGAAACAATCCAAGAAGTTCTGGGTGCTCAAGCAGGGTCGGCTCAAAATTGTTGAGGTGCTTGAATCGAATTACGGAGTTACGGAGCGCTGTATAAGAGTTTCAGTTGGAGCTGGCAGCTGGATGTTGCACGGCTCTTGCAAATGCTACACCGGTGGACCATGTTGCTGCGACCCTGCCCCGTTAAACGCACAAAAGGGCATCAAACCAAGACAGAAGCCGGCGTTGAAGTTGCCAGGTTGTTTGCATAGAGCCTTGTTATTGGTGAAACTGACGTTGTTGGGTGATTTTTGCTTCAATGGGCAACGAAGCGCGGCTGTGAGGCTCACAAGTGTTAGGTGATATGATATGCCACTTCATCGTGCACACCGGGCCTCTGGACAATGCCAATGGCAATTCCATTCAAAACAACAACATGATTATTTATCATGTTATTTATGTTCGATACAAACATCTCACGCACTTCCAACAACATATCACGAAACCAGTTTGAAGATCATGTCCTTTCATTTCCGCACACTGCGGTGGAACAGACTGTGCATAGTCGATGTTCACGTTTTCTTTGTTGGGTTGTTTCAATTACTGCAGTTTGACCTGATGGCTGCAGTCCGTGCAATAAGTTCAGCCCTGCCAAAGCCTTACACTATGAGTTGCAGTATCGAAGTCCTCCAAACTTGTTTGCCCAGTTGGGTGCGTTTTTTTCCCTGTGAGGCATGCCTGCTTCTGTTGATGTCATTGCTGATAGTGACAGCGATGTGGCTGAAGTTGTGGACATCACTGTTGATAGCATCTTGGTTTGCATTGACCCGTGCAGTCCGCCATTGTATCCCTTGATATATCTCACCACATGCTTCAAGGTGACGATGCGGATGAAGTTTCTTGGCGCCAATCTTGAATTGGAAGGGGGGCACTGGCTACTGGCTTTTCAATACCTTGGAGAATCCCTACAGGCCTTACTAAACAGGGTTCCAAGTAGTCCAAGATTTAAGGTTGCGCATTGAGGACGCGAAGGGGAGTTGATCTCAATCACATGTTTGCATATTTGTGGCAATGTGGATGTGACTCTGGTACGCCAAGGTCGCTGAAGTGAATCTTCCAGCTGGGGTTCCCCCGCTGAGTTTCCATGGGTACCGCCGTGGCCGAGAACTAGGCCAAGGAGGATCTAGCCAAGTTTTTGTTTGCAGCCATGGCCCAAGCATGCTTTGTGCAATTCGTGTGATCCTACAGGGTATTTGACTGAGACCAGACCATATGACATGAGGCAAAACAGGCAGCCAAGTTGGTTTTGCTGCCAAAGCTGTCAATCTGCGTCGGCTACAGATGAGTCCAGACGTGGAGAGGGAGTGGAAGAAGTTATGTCGTGAGGCGAATTGTTTGGAACATGTCTTTATGATTCTGAAAACTTGCCGAAACACTCATGGACTCATGGATGAATAGGTTGAGATTTGGAAGCAGCTGCCCGCACATCCAAATATCGTCCAGATTCTTGGTGAAAAATTGAGAGTAATTCTCGGACATTGATGGGTGGCGGGATTTGCTGACTACCAGCCGTAGTTTGTTCCGTTATTGTCGGTTGATGGGGTTGCGGTGCGGAGTGTGGCGTAGATGTGCTGGGCTGGTAAGCGGCTCATAAGGCTGGTTGATTCCTTCCAAGAAGGAGGCTGGTTCTTGATGGTTTTGGAGCTGGTTGGTGGAGGCGACCTGTTCACCGCATCTCAGCAAGCGATTTAGACACGTTTTTCTTCTTTTGTTTGAATTAAGTTTTGTCACTTGTTGTTTGCGCTCAGACTTGGGTTGTGGTTCCTTCGTCCCTTGAGGTTTTGACATCGCGGCCATCGTCAAGGTTCCTGGATCGAGAAGCGGCCTTTGTTGGCGGTCAGTTGGCTCAAGGCCTTGCCTTCCTTCATGGCCGAGGCGGGATCTGATAGAAAACTATAGAAAACTGGGTGTAACCTGTGCCCGCACGTTGCACCAAAGGGTTTTGTAGTGTTGAGTGTGAAGACTGTGAGTCGGGCTTTGCGTCGCCCTTCGTGACGAATGCAAGACCATTTAGGCATACTAGCAGCCTGCATAGCAGGTAGGAAAGGCCTCGTAAGGAACCACTTGCAGGACGTTTTGAGCATCCAAACAAGCTTTATTAACACGGAAAATCGTATGCGTTTGCCTCCTGCCCATCCATAGGATGACAACGTTTGATTCCAAAAAGCGCACGGAAACACAACTTGAACAACCAATAGGAAGGTTTATATAGAAGTTTCGCTTCGCTTGCTCAGGTGTTGTCCATAGAGATGTGAAACTGGAGAATGTGCTTGTGGCCTCCCAAAGACGAGCGTACACAAGCGGTCCCATTCTTTATAGCGTGGCTTGACCGCGTTTGAATGACAATGACATTTATGGCTCAACCTATCGTGACACGTTTTGTCGTCGCATTTGGCAAACCTGGCACGTTTTGCAGGTTAAGATTACTGACTTTGGACTTTCTCGCACCTTTGCCCGCGCTTGGCCTTCACTGTGTTTGCCGTTTTTCGCGCACTGTGTGTCCGTCTCAGGTCTGCTGGATACTGCTTCTGTTGCACAGTCAACTGTCGGGACTCACCCGTACTGCGCGCCGGAGGTGTTGGGTAGCTTGACGCATGTTGTGGCCAGGATGGGGATGTGGCCTGTAGGAGCACTCTTCCACAGTGTGACACTGTTCCTTGACGGCTGGCAAACACCAAGGCGAAGGCTCACACAACTTCAGCGCTGATGTTTGGTGCCTTGGGGTTCTTCGCTGCAGTTTATTTTTTTAAATTTGCATAATTAGTTCCTTAGCCTATGCTCAGGTTGTGTTCATGTGGAGGCATTCTGCTTTTCTTCATTCTCTTTGCTCAGATTCTCCTCTTTGTGCTGCTTTCGGGGCATTTCCCGTTCAACACCATGCCTGCGGAGCAGACGGATTTGGATCGCATCATTGAAAACTCAGTCGGCGAAAGGGCGAAGGTCCGAGACTTGTTACTACAAGCGATGCACCTGTTACTAGTAGCGATGCACTTGTTTCTAGTAGCTTCTTGTTACTACTAGTAAGGCACTTGTTACTAATAGCTTCTTGTTACTAGTAGTAAGGCACCTGTTACTAGTAGCGATGCACTT